GTACTTATGACACTATTTGACAACACTATGACAACTCTAAGGGTAGATGGGCGAGGTCAGGCTTTTCAAACGAATATTGCAAGATTCTCAGACGAATCTTGCAGGCTTTTTAGACGAATCTTGTATCCTTTTCAAACGAATTAAATTTGATTATCTTGAYCAGATCCACATCTGCAATTTTGACCAACTTGACCTCCGCCATTTGGATGTGCATCCATGTTTGCCTATAAATAGGATGCCTTAAGAACCCAAAAATCATCATTTTCATATCAACCATATTCAGTCTTCTAAAATTACTTGTCTACTACCTACAAGAAATGGTTGGAAATGCATTATCGTCAATCCCCTCCCCCCATCTTCTCAAATCATGGTTGTCAGGATGAAGCTATCAATAGAAGAAGAAAAAAACTGAAGCTGAGAAAAATGAGATAAGTGATCAATAGTGAAGTAACAGGGTGAGTCAGGATCAAATCGAGGCTAAGATCGAAGAGAAGCGGAAGACTATAAAGCAACTGCAAAAAGAGATTTGTGCTGAGGAAAACATATGAAGGACATTGCGAAACAGTATCCCGTGATGCAGAGAATAATTAATGAAAAACAGTACTGGATTGAATCGTGTAAAGCACTTTATCCAGAGGGGAATTAGTTTCAATGTGTTGTATGTTTAGTTTTTATGCACTATATTAGGACGGATGTTAGATTCATTGTGCGTATTAATAATATCATGTTTTAATTTAACATAATTTGTTTTGTTCAAGAACAATTGCATGCTTTGAAAGAAACAAACACCTAAAAGTATTAATGGACCGATCTGAAAAGCAACATACACGATTTACTAGTTAAAATCAGTATTTAGGTCAATAATATCAACTGTAAAAGTTCCATGTGGTTCTAGAGTCGATGATGCATGAGATTGTCTTCTTTGACTATGAGAGTTAGTCTTCTAGTCTTGTAATTAACATAAACTTATTCATATTGGACCATCGGTTTAAAAAGTKCTTTAACATTTTATCAACTTAAAGTACACTATTTTTTTATTGTGTTTAGTTATATAAAAAAGGCAATTTTTTTAGAAAACTATTTTACAAATTTGTTTATTTCTCAATTACAGTAGGAAACACTGTAAAATATTAACAAAATTGATTATGATCTCCATTCCTTTTTCTGTAATGTTTAATCAACTCATCTTTGGCTATTTTTTCATTTTGTGGGATTGCGTATATTTGATGTTTTACCTTTGCTTTACGTAATTGATTGTTAGATTGGTAATTTTCACCAAATGGGGTTCTAAGTCCATCCACATCCCTGCAATCCATTTACACTTTCAATTGTGTCACATCAGCTTTTGCAATTATCTTTCACACACCTGCAATTCACCTACAACAYTTTCAACTGTGTCACGTCAGCTTTTGCAATTACCACCTACACATCTGCAATTCACCTACACTTTCAAAAGTGGTCCCCACTACAACATTTATTAACTATTTTATAAATTATTTATATATACATTCTAATTATTTTTTAATTAATAACATGTTTCAAAGTTTGTTGGTTGTTATGAACAGATCCTACACCGACGTGAAAGTGGGCTGAATGAAGAAGACAAAAAAAACAGGGCTTTAGAGTTATATAGCTCGTTAGAAGGTGGAAAATTCAACTTCTTGCATGCTTGGGTTGAATTGCGTGATCAAGAAAAATGGATCAGTCAACGAGAAACACTTCTGGAGGTTGTTGATCTAGTAGAAGATAGGGGGTCAAAGAGAACAAAAAATGATGGCTCGGGCCAATATACCTCATCATCCTCAAATACAAACACGTCGACCCCCGAGCTAACGTCGACTGCTCGTCCAATGGCAAGAAAAGCTTCAAAGGATAAAGGTAAACAAAAATCTATATCATTATTAATTTATAAAATTAATTGTTTTGTATAAATTTTAATGTTTAAAATAATTTAATTTATTATATAATTAATGTAATTAAAAATATATAAACATTATTAATTTATAAAATTAATTGTTTTGTATAAAAATAGTATATTTAAATAATTAAAAGAAGAAAAATAAAATTGGAGRCAAGTGGGTGGCCCACGTGGCTTTCAAAGTGACTTGCAAATTTTGCAATTAAAAATCTACATGGCAGCAAGAGGGATGTGGGTTGTCTGACAAAAGTTTATTTGCAATTCCATTTGCAAGAGGGATGTGGGTGGTCTGACAAAAGTTTATTTGCAATTCCATTTGCAAGAGGGATGTGGGTGGTCTAACCTTAGATCATTTCAATTGTCAAGTGGACTTTTGTTTGGTGGGGTTGGGGGATTGTTAGAATTTATGGTTTTTGATTGTTTGGATTCCATTGAAAGTCGTGTATCACTTTTAGATTGAAGTATTTCGATGGTACAATCGAAATCTCAATCGGATAAAATTCAATGGTTTTCGAACAGAGAATCAAAATCGTTATGAATCTGTGTGTACCTCTCGAAATCAAAATGACCAATTCGAAAATTGAAAAAGAAAATTGTCAAAAATGGCAGTTTTTTGAACCCTAAACCGGGTTTAAAATACCGGGCCAAAAACCGGGTTTTAAATTTAAAAATCGGATTTTTGAAGTATTTTTCACAAATCAAAATTACCCGAATAAATAATTTCCAGCTCGACCCCAGCCAGGGACTCTGCCCCTTGGACCCTGCCACCAGGGGCGTTGCCTCCGGACCCCCGTCGTTTAGGGGCAATCAAAATAAACTCAAACAAGTGTGCACTCCGCACCTTCCTTACTTGTTGAATATTTATCATGATTACATTGGTCAACAAATTAATCTCATTATACTTAAATGATAAGAGATACAAATCACCAACAGTGATTAATAGTTAATCGGTGTTCAAAGGATTTGTTTGATTTTTACTTGCTTATATTAGCATCCTCTATGATTAAAAGGGTTGTTAATAATGGTTTGAGGTCGTTAGAATGCATAAAATCATGTGTAAACTTTGATGAACTTTAAGAATTGAGTGATGGGCTTGCCTTGAACCGGTTGACTTTCTTGTCCTTTTTATATTTAAATGTCGTTCATTGGATGCAAATTAACCATTCCTTTTTAGCAAGAATGAGCAATGCTCACTAAAACTATCTTACATTGCAATTATCTGCCCACAATTTGCTGATTCTTACAAGAAAAATGGTTTGTTTGCTATGAAATGTAAAGTAAGATGGTTTGAGAAGTATATCACTCTTTGAATATTTACTTTGTGGAACTAATTTCTATCATCGCTACGGTTATTCTATAAAAGTTATATGCTTTTCTTTCGACAAGGCACTCCTAGTTCTCCTTGATAAATAAGAACAATATCAACATAAGCAGTGTGGGATGATTTAATCGGTTGGAATGCATCAAGGACTAGAGTTTAATTAGGAGTCTAGAGTAATGCAATTCTCAAATATCTTAGCCGAGGGTACGCCTCATCATTTTTAACCTACCCCCATTGCCCTAGGGTGATGGTTCTTTGTTACTCCCTCCATCCCAATGTATAAACGTTCATAATGGAAAAAAAAACACAATTTTAGAAATGTGCAACACTTTTTAGTTAACTAAATGACAATTTTACTCTTGATAAGGGTAGAATTGGAAAGTAGATGCTTACATTTGAAGTGGGTACTTATTTTAAGACAAACTAAAATAAAAATATAGACATTTATTTTGAGACAAAGCAATTATATGTTAGTCTTATCTTCACGTTTACTGATCTTTATGATGGCAATACTAAGTAACATGATTATAACTTATACTAAGGTGTTTTGGGAATGTTCATGTTATTTATGTAACTATCTCTCTGTGGTAAGATTGGTTGTCTTCTCTGTTAAACTCACTTAGAGTTGGTTTCCCTTTTCTGCATTACAACAGTGAATTCTATGTTTCTAAGTTTCGGTGTTTTTTAACACTATCAGCTTTCATCAATGAGAACTGATCCCAAAATCGTTCATCTTTGAGCTTAGATAGATTGTGGTAAGCAGAGTTTGGTAACGGTATGCCTCTTGCTTGCTTAGAAAATCAGAGGAAATCATGAATGCGCTTCCCTAAATAGGATTTATGGGTTTTATCATGAAAGTAGGCGTCGGTTTAATGTGAAGCTATGGAAAGCCTTTACTGATTGCTTTAATTGTCTACCTGTCGTAGCTCTTGTTGATGTGCATGCACGGTGGACCCTCCCCTAATCTTTCCAATTTGGACGAAATTAGAAACTTACCACACCCGACTGCTATTCTTGATACTGGTTTACTTTCTGATTGGTTGTGGTCGGATCCTAGCAAAGACGTCAAAAGAGGGGTTTCTTATACCTTTGGACCTGATAAGGTTGCCAGAGTTTTTTACGAAACATGATCTCGACCTTGTTTGTCGAGCTCACCAGGTTATAGCCAATCTCTTAATGCTTTTTACTCCTTTGTCTCAAAAAGAAGGTAATGTATGACTAGATACTAGTCTAAATAAGTATCCATTCAGCCAACTTCTAAACACCACCCTTATATCCATGCTTTCAAGCGAGATGTACCGGTTTTGTTTAGTTTGGTCTAGAATATCAAAGAGAGAATCTTGAGGACTATAATCCATATGGATAAGCTACATACACCCTTATAAATTGCTAAATGCACCCGTACCTATTAATTTTCTTCTCATGCACATCAACATCAAGACTTACTTTTTACATTTTTAATACATGATTTGACCCTATTCTGACATAAATATAGGTCATATAACACCACCTAATCAATACCATCTTTCAAAGAGAGAATCTTGAGGACTATAATCGTTGCTATGTAGAACTGCATTGATTGAGGGAGCATTTGATTGTTAAGTTTTGGTTTGTTATGTGTTATTCTTGTCATACTGCAGGTTGTGGAGGATGTTATGAATTCTTTGCAGATATTCTCGGTCCTAGTAATCGGTTGTGGAAAATTGCGTAACTGGCCCGGACCAACCTATACCCATCTCTGGTTTAACAAACCTGTTGATATGTCAAAAAAAATTCTTTGACAAAAATATGATGAGGGGTTTGCAATGATCAATAATGAACAACAAAAGAAGGCAGACTGAATGTGTTTGCATTGGTGTGGTTCCATGTTGAAAAGCTGCATATATCATATATGTATGTATGTTTCTTCAACAGTAACTCATTTCCTCAGTAATTTAATGACGTCCCCCACCATATGTAACGAACCCGTTACAAGGACCTGTCATACAAACAAATACATATTTCAACATTCTCACAAACAGAACTTAATTAAGATCATAGAGGGTATCATTACCTGCAGTCGAACGGACTTATTGTGTTTAGCCGCATCTCTCAACCACTTAATAGCTAATGGAAGGGACGAGAACACCATACTGTTTTCACAACTCTTAACAATCGTTTCGGTATGATCTTTGTTCTCAACAGAAACGAGGTCAGCATTATTGTTATACCCTGAGAATCATCACATACCTAAGTAAGTTAACATACAAACTCAAAACACATCAACTGGCCTTGTTCCTAACTTCTTGTGTATTGTGCAATGGTTGCAAAACTACATCAATGGGTGGGGATTTCATCCCTTGGGGTTGGCCTTTCCTAGGTCCCCTTGAGGTAGGAGCAAGATATGCGTACATCATAACCCCCAAAATCTACCTTTGTATGGGATACACGGGGTTCATTTGATTTGGTTTCATTTGGTTCTGTTTTCTTGGATCCCCTTGTGGTAGAGACAAGAATACATCATACCCCCAAAATTTACCTCTGGGATTGGGTTTGTTTGGTTTGGTTGGTAGAGGCAAGGTCTGCCACAATCTTACCTCCAGACCCTACCTCTCTGTGGGATATATTGGGTTTTCCTGGGACTACTAGAAAAAAGTTGCATATGACAATTAATCTCTTTATCCTAATATCAAGCATTCACCTAGGAAATTTGACAAGAGATGCTTTAGTTTCAAAATATGTGGCAATTGTGCGATTATTCAGCTCAGATTTATATGACATGGTCCTTAACTACATTGTAAGAAGGGAAGGGGAATGGGGATTACAAGTTTACAAATGATCGACGCCAGTTTTGGAAATTAAGCATGTCACAATACCTCTTTCGCCGCATATGATGTTCTCCCATACTCTTTGGAGCGTAAGCTGCCATGACAGGTCAACTACAGAATCAGTTGGCGGCAAGGATGTGCTAGATCCCACTTTGGTGTAAAGTGACATGTTTGGTACAAATAGCGCCTTATTAAAGTTGATACCTGAAACATTTATATCAAAGCAGAAGGTTCCTTCAATTCATATAGAATCATTTGCATCATGAACACTAAAATTTCACAATAGTTAACCTAAAAATGCATACTCCAACCAATATAGCCGGCAGGTCAATATATATGCATAACAAAGAATTTACTTCCATGATAGGATGATTGATGATACGATATGATGCTTGTGACTGAGATAATTACCATGACCAACACATGTTTTCACCAGCCGGGGAAAGAGCAACTGCGGATCCCTCACTGACATGCAATTGAACAATAATATCTGCATTTTCAGGGAATTTGGAAGAATCAAAGAAAGTTATAAGGGATCCTCACTATTAGGATGTTATCTTAAAAAGTATATCCGATCTCTATTAGTTGTTCTCCTTCAACTTTGAATGCCAAACTTGTACTTCAAAAAAATATAATTATTGTTTGCTTTTTAGAGTTTTAACTCCGGTTCTATTTCGTGTTACTTTTGATGCAATAAGTGACATTTTGATCACATGTCAATTTTAAGTTCGGATGTAGTTTGTTTGGCATTCAAAGCCATAGTAGAACAACTAATAGAAAATGGATCCTCCAACAACTACATGGCAAGCAGATTCAAGTATGGTGGTGCAACTGTATATGAAAATAACTTTAGAAAAGTGGTGGCACATAGTGTATGTGTGTGGACATATGAAGATAACAGTGATGATTAATTAGTTGAATACAGCCGCAAACAATTTTCCCGGCTCCAGTGAACTCCTTTGGAACTAGAAAATGTAATAACCATGCAATTTTACGCAAACAGCCTTCTCTCTGCATTTTGGAACTAAGATCACATCCATGTACAGTTAAGAAAGCGAGTGATTTATAATCATCTTATCTGAAAGCTTAAGCTAGAAGATAGATGGCCTAACAATGACATCATGCCTCACACTGGTCCACACATGCTACTCCTCACAAAGAGACCATATAGAGGCATATCTCTTTATCCAATACATATATATCTATATATCTATATATATATATATATATTTATATCTATATATATATATATATATATATTAGAGGCATATCACTAAGCAGAACCCAATAGAGTGCAAATCGAACTTGCATAACATTCTAGTGGATATATTAAAACCTACGTTGCACCATCAACTCATAAAGCCTATGGCTTGCAATAGCAGTGTGAAAATCGCAATTAGGAGTTGGGCTTTAAGTTGGCCCTTTAAAGGGTTTAGAGAAGTCGATTAAGGGAATACAAGCTAGAAGGCTGATTTTCATTTGCAATATTGGTGTGCAAACTTTCTATTCCTCTCCCATCTCTTCTATTCCAGTCTATATATTGCATCTTCTCTTCACAACATTGTCTTCCAACATTGATTGCTCATCTCTTCTATTCACATGTTCTTATGTTCATCTTCAAAATATATATTATGTTATGCATCTATTCATTCATTTATATATAATTGTAATGATTACATGAAACCGCTACATGTGGATCGTTATACCACCGCTTTACCATCGCAATAACCGCTATATCAAATCAAGGTCCTGACCGCTATTTCAAATTTTGACCGCTATAACAGCATAGGGTAGTAGTTAGAAAACCCAACAATAATATCAAGCTTTACTACTAAGAAAGTTGTTATAATATAGCTAGTTGGTGCAATACCCTAAGAAAATTTTGAACTCCTTCTGCATGTTTGTCCTCGCAATTACAAAAATCGTCATATTATATATACTATAATATACGATTAAATATCAGAGTTATACATACATTTCATGTGATGAAATCTTATACTTAAGTTCTTTGAAAGTTGTTGGAAGCGCTAAATTATAATTCAGCAAGTGTTTTTCAACAAACATGCAGAAAATGCATACTGACTGTTGTTTCTAACCTGTGCAGAGTCCTTGCCAGAGGTTTTGCCAGGGTTAAGAGGTGCAAGTTCATTTGAAGTTCTGGAATTATCATGTTCCTGGTTACTTGAGCAGCTTTGTTGTCTGTCATCTTTGATGGCAAGAGAAAACCAGTTTGCGCAAACTTCCATGCTTTCAGGACTATGGGCTCCGTCCAAATAAAACACCAGGTCTCCTGGACTTTCAATATCAAATGACGGGTCTGGAATGATTTGGGCCCGTCCTTGTAGTGTTGCTGTCGTTAGCCCGTTGATGAATTGCCGAGGCAGTGAACTCTGTATCCAAGCATAAGCAATTGGAACCTTTTCTTAATAAATCAGTTGACATATTGGATTCTTTTAAAAAACTTACAGTCTGGTCCATGAAATCAGCTTCCAGATGACCAGTACGTTGGAGCCATGTGGAGCATAACTTGATGGCAAGTCCGGCATTAACATACTGGTGATCGCCCACAAGCCCAAGATGTAATCCATTCAGCAGTTTACTATCCAATGGATTTGCCACTTGCAGAGGCACCTGTAACAACAAAATGTCCATTACTGCATCTTGTTTTGGTTTTCTGCATTCAAGTTATACTAGCTGTAATCTAACTTGACCAATACTTGTCTGTGAGCCATATATGTTACGTAGGTTTCAAGATGTAACCCGGTATGTTACGCAACGCAGTTCCAATTGTAACTGAGTGCTGCTTAAAACTTTTAACGTTTTTTTCAAGATTCTCAATTGGTAGGGTTCAACGGCTTCTTATAGAAGTAGGATGCGGCCATATAACGCAGGCCAACATAGCATGTCCCATATGCCTAGACTTCCCAAGAGCAGTGACCATACAGTAGCTTAGGAATTCGTTTTAACTGAGCAGTCCATACAACGGTTATTACTTAACATAAGTTCGCTATTAAATAGCGAGTCATGGATACTTTCAACTATGCAATGAAGCAGACTAACTGTTAAAGATAATGTGAATTACATCCAACTGTGAAGCCTTCTCCTTGAGTACTTGCATAGCTTCTTCAGGTTGGGGCACAGTAAATGCAGGAACACCTTTCTGCATATAAAACAAGCACACATTAGAAGTGACTACGAAAAAAGAAACAACGAAAGTAAACCAAAACAATTGTAAGAAAAAACAGAACGAATGCTTTTGCATGGGAAGCACCTTAAAGATACCAGCCTTCTCCCCTGCAATTGCTCCAAGAGTATTTCCTGATCAAACAGACAGTCATAAAAATTCCCAATTGAAAATTAGTTCAATATTCAAACTTGAGGTAAACGATGTATATAACAAGTCTCATTAAGACATGGTTGTCAACATACAAAAAAAAATAGTAAAATGATTTGCATGACATGTCACTTAAAAAACAAAGAAATAACCGACACAAAATGACAACAGATTTTATGAACTTCCAATATAAGCTTACCCCTTGACATGAAAACAGAATTACTTGAGACCATTTACTTTTAAATCAAGCACAAAATGAATAGAACATGTTGGGTTTTTTTCTTCAACTGGACAGAAGAATAATAGAAAGAAAAACATGAAATGGGGCAGAGACAATTGAGAAGCGAATTATGATTTATGAGTAATATAAGAATAACAATATGCTGAACCTAACCTAGAATTTCCATGTGGTCGTACCCTAGGGATGCAATGCCACACACAACGGGTGTCTGAACCTGAAAGCTCACGCACCATATTTAGGTCAGATTTTTACRTGTAAGTGTTTGAAGTTACCATCTAAAAGATTGTATATGACAAATCCCCATTCAGTAATCTGAGAAGCTTAAGTAAGGAATACAAGTTCATGGAAGCTCAAATATTTACATACCACATTTGTTGCATCGAACTTTCCACCTAGTCCGACCTCCATAATTGCAACATCAACCTGCATCCAAATACATTGTGTCTCTAAATGGGGGAAGTATTATATTTATAATTTTGTTTTGGTTATTTGGGTGCAGATGAAGGTGGGGTTTGCTCTGGGAAGGGGAGGAAATTGATAAAATTGTGACATACTTGCTCAGCTGCAAAAATTTTGAAAGCCAGTAAAGCAAGGAAACGGAATAAAGTTGGCATCGGTATATCATCGCTGCATTTTTCCTGCATATATAAAACAGATGCAATTAAATAAAAAACCGCTTCATGTAGTAAAAAGACACAAACAAAAGTCAAGAACGCATTTTATGAGCCACTTGAAGCTCTCTTAACTTGCTAGTTGACAAATGACAACTGCCAAATATGCAAAACAATGAATACACGATACGATCAAATATATTTAGTATTTACTGAAGAATAGACATTTTGTCTTTCTTGTTGATAGGTCAAAAAGTAGCCTAACACAATGACAAACTTATCAGGAGAGGCTCCACGACTGAAGCCCCAAAGCAACAAAAACGCATAAAGGGATGTTTTCAGACCATGCATTAACAGCATGTGTAAAGCCAACGAGCTTGATAACACATTATTGAAGCTCTACATTGAATAGCTAAAGGAGAGGTGGTGATAAGCATGCACTAAGGCTTCTCAACTTTATGAGCATTGGGGAGAACATAGCTAATGTATCTGAGGAAAATATGACATTCACTTATAATTATGCTCAAGTACCTAAATATAAAGCTCAGTTGCATACACATGCATGCCTAGCTCGGCCATACTCAGATCATATAAAGCGGGAAGTGTGTGAGATGGATTCATCCAACATGGCTATCAACTTATTCCTTATAGGTAACATAACCATGCACTTACATATCTTTTGTTCTTGCGCATATAATGTGATTTATCTTACAGGCATGGAAGCACCAAAGCTCTAATTGGTTGAAAACAAGAAACACTGTGAACACCATGATGTCCCTACCGGGACTGAACACAGCATGAAGTTCCTGCTGTGCTGGGTATAGAGGAGATCTAATGTGAACAAACTAACCCATCCAAGAGAACTGATATTTGTAGATTTCTAGTTCATATCAATAATCAACTGACAACAGCTAGCTGTATTCGAGTATCTTGACTTCTTGAGAGCTTTCAGGGATGTTGTATAGATAATTTAAGAGAAAGATACTGTTGTTTCAGATGACTTAGATACCAATTACAAGGACGGTGATGTAGGGGTAAATTCCTGTACTTGGCACCCATATTTGACTCTCCAGTAATCATATCTATACTTGAGAATCACAAAGATTAAGTTCAAGTCTGGTTATTTCACACACTGTTGCAGCAACAAAAGGGGAACAAATAAAACTTATTAGGAGGTTGATGCTAGTTGAATACTTCGCTATTAGTCCAAGAAAAGGATACTGGTTGCAGGACATGAAACAAATTATTTAAAAGAAGCACCAAAACTGTCAGAACTCTACAACTATATCAAACTTGCATGCTTGAAATCTAATGACTGTGTGCCTATTTATGGGCCTCTTTTGCACCTCGTCCTTACTTCTACTAACGTAATCTAACATTTGAAATCCTTACTTAGAAATCAACTTCTATTTTCAAAATTTAGAATGTCAGACTAACATATTTCACCAACCTACTCCAGAAAGCCCATAAACAGAACATATATATATATATATATATAAATGCTCTTACTTTGTCCTTGACTTATGCATACAAGCTTGCTGCCTTTGTGGGCTAATTAAGAAGTATGTCAGCTTGACATGATGTAACCCAAACTTCTTTTAAAGAGGTATCATAGGTTGTCTTGAACAGTTGAACTCCAATGTGACCATTTATAAACTTACATAAAGAATTTAAAGCATTGTTAAGAATCACGACCGGTAACATATGATTCTCACTTTTGATGATATAGGTTAGTGATTAATCAAAATAAATAACTGTTATATGCAGTCACGGGGTTTAAGGCATGAGAAGTGAGAAGGCTAGTTTCTGATGTCTAGCTAAATCAAAGCTATCTGCAAATAAATTAGTGGCCATATTACTTTTAATCAGGATCAATGGAAATATAAATTCAATATGAAATACAATATTCATAATCAGAGAAACTTCATTTTTAGCAAAATATTGTAGGAAAAAGCTAATTATGGTCTTTGAATTACAAGGGGTTTTACAGAAAATGATAGTTTGAGAAGAGAATAATACAAATAATGAAAGAATAGAAAAACAGGAACAATCATGATTAATAAACGTCTGAAGAAGCAGCATGAGAATAATAAATATAGGCAAATTACATTCAGAATGTTTATGGGTCAGAAATCATGCCTTCAGTCTATCCCAACACCACCAAAAGTATGCCAAAAACTTCTTTTCACATATATCCACGCTGAAGCAAACAACCAAAATGTAGACATTAAGCAACCACAGTGCAAATTTGAGATATCTTGACTAAATTTACTTACAAATTGCTTTACAAAATATAAGGACATGTATCACCAGTTAAACATAAATCTGACACAATTCAGAAACTTTACACAGAATAAAAAACTAATACTCTGCAGCTGACATACATAAAAGCACACATTTGTATAATGTAACAACTATATGTTCCTTTGGTACATCTGGACGCTGAATACCATGTAGTAGGTCTGCTTTGAGATACTCTATACTTAATCTGCTTAATGGCTTGGATTTGCTTAATTTTTTAGCAATGGCTAGAAATTACTGAATTGGATAAGACATCATGTATCTATTGTCCACATTAAGCCATCTTATTCTAGACATGTCTTGATATAAAAAAAAATCAGCCCCTAAGTTTGAGCCACAACCAAAAAACAGATGATAACATCCCTTGGTCCATCTAGTGAAATCCCTAAGAAGTAGGAGAATCAAACTCACGAGGAATGATGTGTTATCTTTCTTATTGGTACAGTTTTCACTTCACATTACATCATCAAATTTGCTTATTTGTTTGAGTATATCTTGGGAACTCTACTAGGTCCAACATCTCTTTCGCCAGGACTTATCTAATATACAATAACCCATCTTAGCAAGCTGATGATGCATGTGAGGGAAAAGGTAAACCAATTTGATCCAAGAAATGTTAAACCAATTACTTCAAAAACCCCATGATAAACCTTGTTCAAATTTAGTTAATCACCTTTCAACGCCAGAAATAAACATGCCTAGAAGGAAAAAGTTTACAGAGCATATGTTTACATCTGTGTGTGATGACAGTTACAGACCTTGGAAAACTCACCCATCCAACCGAAATCTTTCTCGAATATCAATAAGGTGAGGAGATGTAAAGAGCCCGGTGCGAAAGCCACAATTGCGTAGTATAGCCTCAGTAAATGTGCATGTAGATCCCTATAATAATCCAATTATCACATTACATCAGCATAAAAATCAAAAATTACATCTAATTGTCTCTTTATATCTAGATCCTGTCATGTAAATCCAGTAGCAAAAGCATATCATGATACACTGGGCCTGTTTTCAGGTACAGCAAGAATCATATTCCTTTGAAACAAAATTTTCATTTGCATTTGAAGACACATATGTTGATTTCATAGCATAAAATCTTTCATCAGTGTTACAATCAGCACACAACCTTCTTAACTGTCTAGGAAAATGTGAGACCAAAATGATCCTTAAAGTATTTCAGCCTTCTCAACTTGATATCATAACATGCAGTATTGTATAATAGCCGTGCATATACAAACAAATGCATGACCACTTACTTCTATATAGTGCACAGATGGGTAAGCTACAAATATAGCTGAGTTTTCCCCTTATTGGCATCTAAATGAACTCATATAAAGATGCAATGATATAAGCAACATGCTTATTACATCAAAGCTGGATCTGAATCAGGATAGTTGTCAACTATGAAGATAATGTATTTTTTTTTAAGATAGCAGCAAAAAAAATATGAAACAAAACATCTTTTGCTGTAAAGGTACTTAATTTAAATCAATGGTTACTACAAGAAACAACTTGCTTCATTCCTTGCATTTCAAACATGATAGTATGATACATACTTCAAACCCAAGGCCCCAGTTTAGCACTGGTAGAAGACAAAAGTTCAATTCTCCACTGTAACAGTAGTAATGTGTCATAAATAACAAACTTATCTACAAGCTATTTCCCATAAGAGCTGAATTGCTCTGAGTCATAGACATGGGCATTTGCTTGAAATTGAAATCGACAATATATCCATACAAGTATTGGAGAAATTCTCCAATGTTGGATGGTTAGTTAATGGGTAAAGCTAACTACCAACATTACCTTTCCTTTAGTGCCTGCAACATGGATGATCTTCATCCTTGAAATTGACTCTTCCAGATCCAAAATCTGTAAGGAAAGAGAAATTCTTTAAATCAGCACTGGTAATAACAACTCCCACCTTTCTAAAAGAAGAGATACATTTAGACATCCAATATCATACGGGTCAATTTTCTATTTCCATGTTAATGCAAATTTCAAAAGTTTCCAAGGTAAGTATGATTGTAGATTGAATGTTGTACCATCTATCACAATAGAAAAGCATTTTAAATTGAATTTTTAGAAAAATTATATTAAATTTAAATTTGATTTGCACCATGTTCAACATCAAAATCTATGTAGCTCTTTTTCTTTTAAGGAGTCAGTAGTTGCAATATCCCACAGAAAGAAATGTGTGAATAGTATCCACCTTAACGTACTCAAACAGAAGCTCAAAGTTAAGGCCGCTATTTCTGAGATCGGCACGACTTTTTTGGGAAATCAGAGATGACAAAGCGTCCATGGCTTCATCATAAGCTGGGACACTACTAGGTTCATTGGATCCACGTTCACCATCTTCACCAACATCAATAAACATGTCAAGTTAAACACCTTCTACTAATAATCCAAACATTCATTCAATTAAAAATTATAGAATTATGAAAATGAAAAGTATCGGATTGAAAACTAGCTTTACTTTCGCCATTCACCAATTGAATATCAATATTCAATTGCAAGATGCAGCGATTGATATTAAAAATGAAGTGCGTGAGAGAAATATAATACCTTTTGCCATGTTTGATTAAGCACTGACTGAGCTTCAAAACCACAGATTAAGATGAGAGTGACAGGGCGGTCCAATGGTTTTGAATGCCCCTGGCGGGGAATCAAAAAATGCCCCTAATCCAAGAAACAAAGAATACACTAACTTTTAAGCAGTTTGGAACCTAATCAAGATAGACGGCTCATCCCCATGCCAAATTTAATTAAAAAAGAAAGTTACAATGGGAGGATATAAACCAAAACCCCTAACACAAAACAAACATAAGATCACTTAAAACTAAAAACTTTATCCAAATCTTTTGAGTAAACCAACTATTTCAATCATGACATTCATCATTACTTAACTTACAAACACAAAAGGTACAAGAAAAATGCCTAGTTTGTTAATCTTTTTAAAAAAAACAATATTATATTCTCTAATTGGATAATCTAAACTATATTATAAAGCATTTGGCAAAAACTCTTAAACACTATTTTTTATGCATGAAGTATTGTTTATTGATGCATATTACTTAAGATGTAAGATTACAAATAAATCATGCGTAGCGTAAGTACCAACTTATTAAAGCTTTATGTTTGAATATGTGTAACAAATTGCAGATAAACATAATCAAATACATGATAAATATCACATTTTTAAATATAAAAAATTTAAAATATATTGTGTATAATCATTGAGTTCTAACAGAATAGTTAATTATTATCTTTATATAAAATTATATTATCAAATTAAAAATAAATTACTTTGTTATTAAACCTAAATTAAATTATAAATTTATAATAAAAGAAATTGAATTAAAAAAGTTATACAAAAAAAAACGAGAACAATTAAATAGTTAATTTTATACTAATATTGATGTATTCTTTTTCAAATTTTTATGATATCTTCAAATTTATATTTTATTCAAAATAAAAACATTATCGCTTTTTCAAAACCACATAAAATCATATTATATCGACATAGACAGAATCAAATGACACATTAAGATCAAGATGTATTTAGCTGCATTGCGCGAGTACCCTTCTAGTACATTTACAACATCTTTGTTGCTTTTGTAGTTCTATATCCATTTAGTACTAACTACTAAGTTTATAGGTTGGTCATAGATTTTCACTATAAGCATACAGGAGGTAGTGGCTTAAGATATTAACCAGTTGATTCTCTTTAGTCTCAACTTGTTTATGGTCATGGAGTAGTATTTAGCTATGCTGTTAACTGTGGCGATATCTGGGCCGCTATTGCGGCGATATCTCGGTTTGCGGCCTTCTGCATAATTGTGGTGGTAAAATTGCAGTTGAAATTGCGGTAGCACAATTAGCGGCGCAATTTACCGCAATTGTGGCCGCTATTTTGTGAAAATATCGTCCGATATTAACGCAATTTTGGTGGGCTTGGGCTTTTTTTGGGCTTTTAAGAACTAGGATTCTCATAAGACTGTTAGTGTTAGACGATTTTGATCTTAGCCTTAGACGACCACCACTTCTCTTACACGACTTATGTTAGACGAAGACGACCACATCTGTTAGACGACTTCTCGATCTCCAGCCACCAGGTACACGACTTCTGTTAGAGATCGCCTCCTTTGGTCAGAAGTACGAGAAGCAATGGGAGGTAATGAACAAGTTGGGCCAAGTACAAGAAGTAAAAGGGAGAACTATAGGGATGATGATGATCACGTTGGAGATGAAGGAAGAGAAGGGGAAGAGTGGGAAGCTAGCCTAAACGAAGAAGTGAACGTACTAGATGATGTTGACTCATATGCTGAACCTATTGCTTGTGATTAGCTCGTTTATGAACATTTTTCCTATTTTGCAAATGATATGTTTATGTAGGCATATTATATATAATTATATATAATTCTAAGACATGTTATATGAACCGCTATTTTTGGACAGCTATTGCAAATATCGGTCCCGACCACAATTTCGTATTTTCACCGCTATAACACCATAGGTATTTAGCATAGATTAGGCTACTTGTTGCTATTTAAATGTGTTTGAAGCTTAGCATGTAACTTACACTACTGGTTAGTTCTTAATAAGCATATAACCTAATAAACAACAAATATGTACATAAACAACATATCTATACATAAACAACAAATTTGTACATAAACAACAAATCAGCAAATAACTTTTTTAAGAGTGATAAATCAGCAAATAAACAAAAAGGTTGCAAGAATTAATGGCTTCATAACCAAATCAGCAAATAACATAATAAGCAAATCAAGAAACCAAGGGGCATTTGGTTCTCAGAATGGTTTCTACAAAAATAGAATCTGTCAGAAGGAATTGAAATTCATAAGGAATTGAAATGTTACGAGGTTTGATCAAGTGATTGGTTTGGTTAATAAGTTGTGAGTTACCTGTTAAAACCAAGTATGTTATATTCAATTGGGGTTTATGAAGTTAACACTAAGGGGCGGTTTACCAAATTTTCTATTAAGTCATGTCCGGATAAATTTGTCTGTTGGGATAAATTTATGTTGTTGTTTACTTCTCTATCTGAATCAATGTTTATGCTAACTATAACAGCAAATACAGCAACTATAAAACAACAAATACAGAAATAGCAAACATCAAACAGCATCAACAGCAACCATAAAACAGCAAATACAGCAAACATCAAAAAAATAAAAAAATCGTTGAAGAACAGCAAACATCAAAAAATCGACTGTGACTTGTATACCAGCAAACATCAAAAAATCGACTGGAGGATTATAGTAGTTACCGATTAGGAGAAGAGGGCCGTGAGTGATGGAGAAGAACCTGTCAATCGATGGAGGAGAAGAGGGTCGTGAGCTATGGAGAAGAACCTGTCGATCGATGGAGGAGAAGAGGGCCGTGAGCAATGGAGAAGACTGTCAATCGGTGGAGAAGACTGTCAATCGGTGGAGAAGAGGCCTCCGATTATGGTTCTGTAAACAGTTTGGATCGATGGAGAAGAGATGTGCGATTAGGATTTGGATCGATGGAGAAGAGGCGGGGTGTTTCTTTGAGACGCACGATAAGATAAGAAGGGTAGGGCAGTCTTTTTGGCCGGAACTGGACAACCTCCTTCTTTCATCCGGGCGAATAAGCTTATTTTTGAGCAATTAAGCCCGAAGTAATCGGTCTAGAAAGTTTGTGTGAATAAGCCAATTTATCTGCTAAGCTCATTAAGCCTGAAATAAACAGGCCCTAAGTTTCAAAAGTGAACAGATGTTATATTTTCAATTGTTAAATCAATACTTGAATGCCAACACTTCTCAGTTGACTCAGAATTATCGCATCTTACGAATATGAGAACAAGAGCTATAATAATAACCACACACACGCCAATGTTCAGTGCCACCAGTCTTGCATGCATTCAGATTATATTTTTTTTCTTAGAGAATAAAGCACATTTGTAACTGCCAGGCTTTGCTTTTGAGATGTTTCAGTGTTTCCTTCTATCATTGAACTCTTTAGTAAGTATATCTCTAAGGTATATTTACTTGTCTTTTCTTAAAACAAACTTCATTGAATCTTCCTGTTTAATAATGACTTAATGATATAGAAGTGGCTTATTCAGTAAGCTTGTAAAGTGGAGCTTGCCCAGTTTTCTCCAAACCTCCTTGTCCTATATAATAGACAGACTCATTCCATCTTTGAAAACCCTTCGAAGTCCATATCTGTGCTTCTAACACAACCACAGCAGTCCTCTATCAGGACTAACCGGTGAGCAATACCAACAATTTATGAATCCTTTTGTATTAAATGTTATTGTCCAACTTTAACATGTGTCTATATCTGATTTGCTGATCGATTAAGCACTTGCATGGTTTGTGGCCTCACTATAGTTTTCTGGATATCTATAGGAATAAAATACATTTCTATGGTTCCCTTTTCTAAATGGTCTTTGAGAAAATGGTATCTGACATCAATATGCTTTGTCTTGGAGTGTTGCACAGATTCGATAGATTGTATTAATGTATTTCTTTGTTTTAGGCAAAGCTCTGCCTCAGCACCTAGTTTTCCAAACACATCTCGTTTGTCAGGTTTGGCCTTAGGACGGGCAGATATCTCATGGGATAAGTTGGAAATAAGAAGAATAATGGGAACTTAGGTAGGTAACAAACACCAAATTGTCAACCAGCTCAAGGCAATTGAATGGGTTTCGTACAATTTCACAATGTCTTCTACAATGTTATATCGTATTGCATTTTTAGCTAAAGTTCTAAAAAGTTACCATGGATGAAGAAATTCAAGCATATTTCGAAATAATCGAACTTGGATTTTGGTTCCTCGTCCTACTAACACGAATGTAGTGGGTTCAAAAATGGTTTTTTTAGACAAAATACTTGCCTGATGGATCTGTCGAGCTATTAATTAGCGTATTTCCTCTCAAAATTAATGAGAAACAACCCAAGAAGGAAGCAAAAATATCACAACATATACAATTTTAAAAAAGAGGCGGTGGGTTTTTAAACTTTTAATTGATTTATCAACATTTCACCCCTCAACTTTGAATCCAAAAGGAACTGAATGAAAAGTTAGTAGGTTTGACCAACCGGAATCTGCCCATTAATTTGCAACAGAATTAAAATGAAATAATGAAAAAAAAGACAAAAATACCCTCTCATTGATACTTTTTTTATTTCTTAATTACAAACAATAATAAATTTAACTAAGTCTGGCCGCCATTTCATGTTACCAGCGTGAAGTCATAACAAAATTGAGGCAGAGATCATAAACCAGTAACAAAATCGAAGCAGAAAACAGGAATCATACACTGGAGATAACAGAAATCGAAGCAGAAATCAGAAAGAGTAACACAATCGATGCAGAAAACAAATAACATCAGTCTTCGATCGATGAAAAGACAGCAGAAATCGAAGCAGGTTAAGAAGATGAACCAGGTTCGTTCATGGAGAAATGGAGAGAAAAAAACCCTACATGCAGTCTTGTGATCGATGAAGAAGATGAGCAGGTTCGTTCAAGATGAGAGAACCCAGTTAAGCGTTCGATTGATTGGAAGCAGTGGTAGATGAGGATGGAAAAGGTGCGGCTAGGGTTATTTGGTTGTAACGAGGGTATTTTTTTCATTTATAAATTTTGGATCAATCAATCTCTTTTTACGAAGGAACAGTAAAATCTTTAAACGGTGGAATGTTTTGAATTCAACTAAATTCCATTGGTAATCAAATATTAGAATGAAATTTGGTAAACGAAATTTACTATTCCAATTCTATCAGATTTTGAAGGATTCTAACAAACCAAGCGCCCCCTAAGAAACAATAAACATCAAAAACCTAAGAAAGAAAGCATTACGATTCAATGGACATAATATGATGCACCCAGGTTGTGCGTGAAGAGGCAGAAGCAAGTCTCTAGGTCGCGCGTGAAAGAGGTTGAGATAGCTACAACAGAGATAGATGCAATATTCGTTTAGAAAAGAAAAAAACGGAACCTCACCTATTAAATGATGGGCTTTTGCCGCCCTGGGCTACCGCTAGACATGGCTAAATTGGCTCGGCCCAGTCCGGAATCGTAGGAGGACCGAAACCGAGACTGGCAAAGGACCGGTCCGGCCTGGGACCGGTAAGGACCGGTTATGGGACCACGGTTCGGGATCGGTTGGTGTTTTTGGACATTTAGAGGGATCGGCCGGACCCGACCTGGAAATTCAAATTTTTTACCTCTTTTTTCCGAAATTTGACCCCTTTTTGTCATTTTAGCCCCTAAACACTATATATAAGTGTTATGGTGTATGGTGTAAGATACCAACTTACAATATTCAAAAAACGTAAAAAAAGCGTTCACGATTCTTGTTATATTTTGTGATTTCGGCTCGTATTTATTTCTCGCTTCCACTTTTCAGTTCTCATTTCTTTCTCTCTTTATCTTCTGAAATGGCCACGGAACAGCATGATGCATCAAATAAATAAGTTGTCCAAGGCCCGAGCACATACGAAAGTCCGAGATTTAGAATGCGTACAACATGGTGATCCTCACGAAGGAGGAAAAATGTGCAATGCAAAATGTGTCAAGCTCTCATTAAGGCGAAAGAAAATTCAACTTTAAAGAGGCAAACTGAAAAAACGTGCCCGTGGTTGAGGTCATGAGGCAATTGAAGCCAACCAATACTTGACAATCAAGGTCAAATATGGACGTTTGATGTCGAATTGAACCAACAAATGACAACATAATATGTCATTCAAGTTGGGTTGTCGATGGGACATTTCGACAACTATCACATTATGCAATTAATCCAAAAAACACCATAACCACGATGCAAGTTGGGAAGTCATCAAACTCTTAGACGTGATGCACTTAAAATGTGGAAAATGTGTCGAAATGAAATGGAACAAATGTTTTCTCTTTCACCTAACAACATTTATGTTAAAATACATAGTTTCTTGTTCAATCTTAACTCTTTGTATTTCTTTTATTGTAAGGGACTAAAGTTGTTAAAGCCTGAAAGTTGGTTGTAGAAGTACAAGGACTACGCCTCGTTTTCTAGAAAAGACTAAGGGTAGCGGAGCAAGTTTGTTGTTTCTTGAGGGACCTTTCTGTCGTTTATTGATTCATATAAATAGATTTCAGTATCTGATTTTCTTCATTCATATTCATTTTTCTACTTTGCTTCTCATGTCCCCCGACTGATTCTAACATAGAGGCCAACGATAGACAATTATAACCCCCCCTGGAACACAGCTTGCTACTAAGATGTTTCAGTTCGCCCGGTTGTCTCTTGCCTGCATGCGCAGCAGCACCAACTATGAGAAATCCACCAATCCACATACCATTTGAGCTTTTTTTCATGCTTTTCCCCGAGGTCTGGATAAAGCTGAAATCAATAAGATTCACAATGGTATTACTAAAACTTGCTTGAATATGAATAGGCTCAGTAATTTGTTAATATAAAATTCACAATTGGCAAGTGATGTCTCTCTCTCTATACTCTCTCATATTTTTTGCTCTTACGCTTTAGATCTAAGATTTCTTATGTTCATATTGTATAAATCTAAGAATCCTTTTGTATTCTTTTGTTTTGTATAAATAAATCTATGAATCGTTTTGGTTTATATGTTTGAACATGGTATCAGAGCACCAGCTTCTGTGATTTTGAGGCTCTTTTGAATCTGTCAATTCACCGTTCATCCTCGACATTCATCTCCTCACAGGTAAGTGTTCCTTCTTCTTGTTGAAGCTTTTATGTTTCCTATTTCTTTTGAGTACGTGCTTGGCTAATGATTTGGTCTTGAAGATCTTGTTAGATCTTGTTAAACCAATCATTGCTGAAATACTCATGTATTGGATCTTGATTGTTTTTAAAACTTTTGTTTAGATCTGTTCGTTCTTCCTTTAAATAGTTGAATCTGTGTGTTTTCTTGAGTAAGTGCTCGGCTAATGATTTGGTCTTGAAGATCTCTTTAGATCTTGTTAAACCAATCGTTGTTGAAATACTCCTATATTGTTTTTCGCTTGTGTCAAGCATTTGTTTAGATTTGTTCTTCTTCATTTAGATAGGATCGAATATGTGTTGTTTTTTGAGTAAGTGCTCGGCTAATGATTTGGTCTTGAAGATCTTGTTAAATCCTGTTAAACCAGTCATAGCTGAAATACTCTTGTATTGCTTATGTTAGTTTCAAGCTTCTATTTAGATTGTTGCTCGCATTTAGATCTGATTGTATTTGTGTTGATTCTTGAGTAAAGGCTCGACTAATGATTTGGTCTTGAAGGTCTATCTAGATCTTGTTAAATCAATCGATTGCTATTTTTCCTTGTGTTGGATCTTGTTTGTTTCATTTTTTTTGTTTAGATTTCCCTTTTTTCTCCAGATCTGGTTTTTTATCAGGACTGTTGGTTTTCATGTCTATATAACTTGTTGTAGATATGTCCTTACCTGTTGTAGATATGTCCTTACCTATTGTAGATCTGTCTGTTTTTTGGTTGATCTGTTTTTTCTTCTTTTAGTTCTGTTGTAATCTCGAGTAAATGCTCGGC